AACATACTTTTACGAGTATACAGTTTCATAATCCCCAGGAATCCCCACAACTTTACATAGTAGCTTTCTATTAAATTAGGTTTAAAATTTACACCTCGCTGTACTATGAACGCAAAAGTAGCTTACCTTGTCTGTTCGAGTCTCTTGCCAACGACTATGACGAAAGTCAGTTAACAAGATGTGAGACTAAGCAGAGTCAAAAATGGCGACATGCAGCAGCTAATGTTGCAGCAAAGGGAATAGAAGAGACGGCTAAGTATTTCCCGGCATTACTTGACTCGTTAGAAAATTACTCATTGTTGCGAAAGACACTAAAACCAAATTGTCGTTAATAAGTCCATTAATAAACGAGTTACTAAAACAAATGATTCAATCGTTTTAGATTCAGAAGAAAAAGAGAGAAAAAGACCAAAACTCTCTAGCTATATCGAGTTGTTAGAATTCGAAAAGACTTCTGAATTTGTATCCTTGCTGGATCCAGCATGCGAGGATCATATGAAACGGATACAAGATCTAGAAGATGTCAATCGGCAATTATTATCTGAGAATGCAGCATTAAAGAAGCGGTTAGATAAGCATTTAATGACCAACAAGGTCGTATTAGGACTTCATTAAGACTTGCAGCTAGACGAACATTCGCACCGATTTGGTCTGCTCGGCGACATCGATTAAGACCCGAAATTTACGAGTTGATTCAAGAAAGGATTGTAACTTTACGTTCTAAACTATCGAATCAACATCAAGGCCATGACGCAATATTGGACCAAATGCTCAAATCTTCAGTTCCTGCAATTCCTTCACAACGGTACTGGGAGATAGCAGCACGTAATTATACAAAATTTTTGAAATTGCGTACTAACCTTTTTAATTTGATAGGATATAAGGAAAGTGAAATGCACGGACCTCGTACACGTCCTAGCTTTACTGCTGAATCACGTCGAATAAGAAAGACCGAATCTGTAAACCCAAACGCTAATAATTGTGTTTTTCAAGACATAAATGGAGAGTGGATGCTAAGTGAAGAAATGAAAAGATTTGGTGAAATTGCTTGCAGGAGAAGAATAGACTTTATTAAAGCAAAGCCAACTAAAGAAACATCACTAGGCGTTTGGCAATCAATTCCAATAACACATGAAGAAACAAATGGTCAGAAGGCTGAAAGTTCATTAACGAAATCACAGATATTAGCCATAATTATAATCAATTCAAGTCCTTTTTTAGGTGAATCAGAACGGCCACGGTTTTCGAGGTTTATCAAGTAAATCCCGTGCCGAAATAGAAGAAAATTCTAGACTTGGTTTATCCCTAAGATTAGGTAGTTTTCTTTGTCTTTGGAGAGTAAATAAACGAGGAGGGCTAAACTGCCAATTCTGATTCAAGGTTCAATAACCAAACTAGTTTGGCGATTATCTTTACTCTCTGGTTTAACTAGTCTTAACTCAATTATTCTTTGGGCTGATTTGAGGTCTTGTTACGTAATAGCTAAACCCTTTTGGGGCCTGAAGGGCTCATATTCGTAACCGGGGACCACAATTTCCTCCTCATTGATTTCCCACAGCATATGCGACCTGGCTACTCGTTGCTGCATCGATTATTTGATCTCTATTGTTGCTACAATCCTGAATAGCAATTTTAACAGTCTATTGAGCTTTTCGCTGCCAAGGCGAAAAGGAAAGAAAAGGAAGTCGATTAAAATTTTATTTTGCTAGGCAGGCTTTTCGCAAATAAATTCGATAATTATTGTCGATTTATACACAAAGTATGTGTTTTTTATATAAATTTATTTACTATAGTTTTTTTTCTATAATTTTGTTTTCTATAATTTTTGTTTTATATATTTTTTTTTCTTTAACGATAATTTTGTTTTCTATACAAAGAGTTCGATTTAATAAAACCTTTCTTTCAACTTCGCGTCTTTGGAGAAAAATTGGAAATCGTGTCAGGAAATGTTTATGATGGTTGTGGCTGGTTTTTGAATAATGATAGGGTGATATGGTGTCGGGAAGGAATTCATGGAAGAATTGGACAAGCTGCACGAAAAATATGGCGAAATAGTCTGAGAAACACAAAAAGGACATGAATAATGTGATTCCGTATCTTTGCCTCAAATGGATTGTTCCCGATCAAATTCAGATCTGGTCCAAGTTGCCCGCGGGGAGTTTGGAGCGTTGTGTTATGCAGATTGACTTGTCCAAGGTGATTCTGTAACGACGAGTCTGGCAAAATCAGGAGATTTTGTGACCCACGAATGTGAGAGCGATCAATCCGAAGATACATTAGTTACTGTAAATCTGACGATATTGTCAGCTTTGTGCCGTGAAAGGGCTCTGGTAAGGTAGCTCTTTTCGGGGAATGTTATTTCTAATTGGTAGGTTCAATTCATCTGATAATCATTCGATTATTCAGTTCATTTCTTTGGTAGAAAATAAGAATGAATAAATATGTCGCCATCTCTGTCATTGCAGGAAAGTCTGGCTAGACTTTGTAGTTAGTGCATATTAGTGCTACAGGTAGAGAGTGGCACAAATCATAATCTCGATCTTTTGGGCGGTATTACGCGGAGTAAATATTGAGCATTACACAGTGTCCAAAATGCTTCTTTAACTTTGCTGGTCATTCTTTCCATTCTTTCTCAAGCGATTATAAGAAAGCATTGTGCCTACACGAAGCTCATATTGTGCTTTATGCGCTTAAGCATACTCTGTTGAGATTGATGGATATTAGGTTAACTCTTATTAAGAATTTTATTAACCCTGCTAATTAATATGTTGATTATTGTTTATATTCTAATATTTGATTAATTAATAATTAGGTTTACCTGGTCGACTCTTACATATACCAATCCCGATTCTCAATTCAGGCGTTCGGTGGCATCAAACATACGTACTAAACTTGACCTATACATTATCATCAAACTGGACAAATTACGCTGAGCGAAGATTCGGTATGTTGGGGCGCTGAGCATATACGTAAATGTATGATAAGAAAGTTTAATATTAATACATTTTAAATATAGTTTTGAGCAACCCAACTGAAGTACCTGGCTCTGACACTTTACGCATAGTGATTCTCTATGACGATCACCGCTTTCTGGCTGGATCAAAGGAGAATGCATCGTGGCTCTTGCAATGAAGTGGTCCCGTTAGATATATGGTAGGTAGGCTATGCTATCAGTATTGATTTCTGTCAAGTAAAAGATATAATACAGTAATAAGAACAAAGATGTACAATTCAAATCTCCCGCCGTCGAAGACTGTCTACTCTCACGCTCTGGTAATGCTTGAGATTATTTCAGTTTACAGGCAGTAAATACATATAATACATTTCCAGTTGGTGTTCATATTGAAAGCACAGCAAGGCTGAACTTGCAGGAAGATAAAAAAGGGTTGTTTGTCTACCTTACAAGAAAGGGAGTATTGTAAAAATGAGCTATATAAATATTGGATCAATGGAATCTACTTAACCCCCAAAAAGTCCAGAACATTGGCACGTAAGCGCTTTTACAGCCTTTATAGAAATAATAAGGCTTAGTATATCAACGCCAATGAGTATAAATAAGTGAGAACCCAGATCGAGAATGAGACATACAAGCATTGCCGGCCACCAATATACTCTTCATTTTCACCATCTCCTAACACTGTATCATACATCGAGGTGGTAGCAATTATATATATTGGCCGAACTCTCCTTATATACATACATCCCCTTCCGTAGCCTCTCGCTCTTTCATTTGAAATAAAATCAATCTCTCTGGACTTCCTAATGCCTAGTTGCATCTTCTTCGGTCCCATGTGTGCTTTGATATTCAAACTTGTAGCGTTCGGGATATCTGAAATTCTGATACAAATTGGCCAACTTCCATAACTGCCCGTGCCTACGCCTCGTTGACAATAAAGACCAATGTCCAATTGCGCTGCTCCATATTCTTGATGCGCTGATTTCTCAAAGCGTTTGAGATTGTAATGTTGAAGCATCAAGTTGCTTTGGTGTATGCTGGCGAAGAAAGGGACACAAAGACATGGAGATACAAGATGGGCTATTTATAAAAATAATTCCAAGAGATTGCTATCACTATCGAGTGTTATCTCTCATTTCCAATCGCGTTGTTCTTTTAGTTACGTGACTTCGACTAATTGACTCCGTAATAGTGTCCCTTGAGCGTGAAACGTCCAGAATCGTTCTTGCCCACGAATTAAACAACACATGTGGAGCTTCTGGGGTTGTAGCCGTAGTAGTCGTTGTATTAGCAATGATTATATTGTAGTTTGTGACTGTCAAACTCGATAAGTTAAAGTCGACGAGCTGGTTATAATATAGAGGTTTTACTTATCGAGGGGTTATATAAATGGCTGAACCGCTTGAACGATGTCCTCAATGTTCAAGACTATTTGGCAAGTACACCCCGCATAACCCAATAGTAATAGTTTATTGTGGTACACCTTTAGCGTTCTAAAAGAACGCAAAACTCCAGCATAATAACACGTGATCAAGACTCACTAGTTTGTAATGGAGGTTCATGGAAGTATTTTAATACAAAAATTTGGGACGGAAAATTCTTTGTCTCGTGTCTACGTATATTACTGGATCATTGCAAAAGTCCCCAAATCGCTGTTTCAAACGGAGAGATAGACAATAAGTCATTAATGGATGTCACGAAGAAATAGTAAAACTCATATTACCAACCATCGCTTTCGACTCGACAGCTAATCAAGGTACAATGTTATATGAAATTGTATACATATTAATATGTAGTATCTGCACAAAATCGCGCGAATGTTAGTAACAGTTTCGAACTTAAACAACCCGAGTATTAATATTAATGACTCCGTAAATACCAGGCACATCTTCCTCAACATTTGCGATAATTCGAAAACAAAGAATGAAATTCCGCTTTTGTTATATTTTCTTGAACAATGCAAGAACGCTGTTACATGTGACTGGAACTACAGAGCTAAACAAACGATTGATTTAGGCGTGAATCAATTGAATTAAATATTGTTCCCCATAATGCTAACCTTGGCAAGAATATATCAAAAACTATATCTTGAAGTACAATTACTCAATCTGAATATTGCAAAGGTTCCCACAAAACGATTGTACAACACCTACCAAAAGTCTTAAATCTCTTGATTCGAAATCTCTGTGCTATGTAAGTAGTAATTATTAGGTGAGGGTAACTTTTCGAAAAAAATAATGCTGAAAGAACTTTTGGTAGGGGTGTATGTCCCCGAAGTTCAGTTTTCGTGACACACAAACCACTACTTTTAGCAATAATT